GATTGTATTTCAACATTATGAATGAAATATACCGGCTAGTTCCCATGGTAAATTTCTATATGATGTATTTAATTGATTTAGACACATTTCAGGTGTCAAGTAACGCAAACTTTCCACTGTAGGGAGATTGTAGGGTAATCTTTTTACAAGTTCGTTACAAAGACGAATCGTATAGGCCACACATCTTTCTTGGATAACTTTTAAAGATGTTTGTGAAATAGTCTTCTTTGCAGCATATGATTCAAATCGATGTCCAAAATTTACCGATTCAAGGGGAAGAAGGGCGTTTTCAAAATCTTGATGCACCTTTTCCAAAACTCTCACTACATCATCTATGTCTGCTTGATGCAGTATAGAAGACGTTCTCTGATGTTTCAAATAAGAAGGTTTTATAATCCTTCTTACCAACGACATAAGTAGCATGTATAAGTCAGCATATAATTTTGTAATATCAGCATTTGTTTTTTGAAATGCAAGATTTAAATTAGTAACGTCTTTTAAAATTCCATCTAAAAAAAGTAAACATAGTAAATTACTGTCGTCTTCGTACATATTTGCAAGCGTTCTTGCTGTATAGCATTTATCGTCTTAGGTTTTTGACGCCAATTGAAAGTGTTATGTTTCAGCTCCAGCCATTGTTTAATATTTGTAGAAACAGCCTCACTCCATGCAAGCCAACGCGTCGAAGATAATTGAATCAGTTTAGGTGGTTGTTTTCCGGCATTAATTAATTGATACATTTTGCTGTACTTCATTTGACGAAGAGGACTGTGAGAGAACCATTTTCTCGTTTCTCGTAGTAAAAATTCGACTGTACATGGTAATTCGTCGCTTGCGTTGGAGGCACACAGATTTAAGGAATGGCAAACGCATTTTATCAATTGTAAATGTGGAATCTTTTCTTTTAATAACGTGTACAAGCTGTGGTTCTTGCCACAAAGATTGCTCGCACCATCCGTTCCTATGTCAATCATATTTTTGTAGTTCAGTCCTATCCCTGCTAAAAATGTTCGATTAAAACCGATTAAAACGTAATCCGTTTTAATCGATTTTAATCGGTTTTAATCGGTTCAATCCGTGCCCGGATTATAAAGTAATCGGTTTTAATTCCGAACGAATTATAATTTAATATTACTTTTACGGATTATTTCCAATCTGAAATCATTATACTCTATATTATCTTATATTCTAATCTATATTGTTGTCAATTCAAATAAATCCAAATAACCGTATGAATATATAATATCCAAAATAATCCGCCTAAACTGTATATATATTTTTTAACATCTAAGTTTGTTTCAGTTACAAAAACACTGATTCAATAAAATCGATTGTAATTTGTCTAAATCCGATTCCGCTAGGAAAGACAACATTAATCTGAATTTTTAATTCAAATTTTAATTCAAATTTTTAATTCAAATTTTTAATTTGAAATTTAGCGATGGCGCGTATGTAATTTTAATCTGCTTTAATAATATCTAATTTTTAGTAAT